TATTTTATAATATTAATTAATTAATTTAAAAAATTAATTTACTAAAAAAAATATTATTATTAAAAACAAATGAAGTAAAGGTTAAAAAACAAAAAGGTTAAAACCCCGATTCAGTCCCTCAACTTTCATTTTTGAACTAAAACTACCCTTAAACTTCAAAAACTAGTAGAAAAATCCTTGAACTTCAATTTTTGGGATCAATTTCGTCCTTCCGTCGACGGAAGTGCCAGATGGCACGTTAAGTTACCACGAAATCAATTATTGTTTGAAATCTTTAATTACATGAAAAATAACTTATTATCCACATCATTTTAATTAATTTATATATTAAAAAATTTAAAATTTTTTAAATACCCCCAATCAGCACCAATAATCCCTCATTGCTTCGGTCATCTCTTTCCACTCCAATCACCATCTCCTTCTTCCCCAAACCTCCCACACCTCTTCTCTAATGGAACCCAAATCTGGTTCCTCGCACAATAATAATGGCTAATAGATTTAATTCAAAAAATCAATTACACTGTAAACTTATATCAAATTTATAAAAATTCAACAAATTAATCATATTGCAAACTTATACCAAATCTGTAAAAGAAAAGAAAAATGCAAAAAACGCAACATCCCTTCAATCAACACCGACTGTAATTGAATCTTGAAATTCAAGCAAGCAGAACTCATATCAAAACTCTAAATCCCATACCAAGATAGTTAAGCATCACTGCAGCCACTAAAGAAACAGAAAAACAAAGAAACAAAAGAAAAAACACAGGCGTGTTCGACTTGAACCTGCGCCCAGGTTCCATCGAACCCAGGCACTGGGTTCGAAGGAACACAAGGCTTGGGTTTCTCAACCTGCTTGGGTTCCATCGAACCTAGGCGCTGGGTTTGTAGGAACCCAGGGCTTGGGTTCGAGGAACCCGCGCCTGGGTTCTCGAACCCACACCTGGGTTCCATCGAACCCAGGTGATGGGTTTGAAGGAACCCAGGGCTTGGGTTCTAGGAACCCGCACCTGGGTTCCCAAACCAGCGCTTGGGTTCCCGAACCAGCGCTTGGGTTCCCGAACCAGCGCTTGGGACCCGCGCCTAGGTTCCATCGAACCCAGGCGTGCTGGGTTGAACCCAGGCGCTGGGTTCGAGGAACCCAAGCATGAATGAAGGAACCCAGTAGGCAAGGAAGGAGAAAAAGGAAAAAAGAAAAAGAAGGGAAAAAAGAAAAAAGATGATGAATTGAAGGAGATCGGGAAAAGTGAGGGATTAGTGAGGTTGAAGAAAAGGGTATTTTGGTAACTTCAACAAATATAAAAAATTGAAAATAAGGGATAATTGTGTAATTTTAAGGATAAAATACTAACTCATACACTTTTACATGTGGTTTTTCCATGTCATTAGTTGAAAAAAAAAAGCTTGATTTCATGGCAACTTAATGTGTCATCTGGCACTTCCGTCGACGGAAAGACGAAATTAGTCTCAAAAATTGAAGTTTAAGGATTTTTTTAGTACTTTTTGAAGTTTGAGGGTAGTTTTAGTTTAAAAATGAAAGTTGAGGGATTGAATCGGGGTTTTAACCAAACAAAAAACATGCAAAGGCCTGTAGGTGCAATGTCACGGAAGCCGATGACAAACGACATCACGAAGTCAGTTAGCAGAAGGGTTGATTTGCACCCGCCGTGGGGTTGGAGGGCTAATTTGCCACTTTTTTAGTTCAGGGCCTTATCACTTGCTGTTGAAAAAGTTTAGGGGCTTAAAAAGAGTTTTTGCCTTGTTTCCCGCACATACACCTGCCTCCTTCCCAACAATCGACATCGTTTGTGTGTGTCCAAACTCCAAGCCCTTTCCACCAAAAAAAAAAAAAAAAGAAAAAAAAGAACAAAAAACTCCAAAATCTAAACGCGAAGTGAACTGGAGAAGATATATAGAAGCAGCAGGATGTTTTATTCGCAGACCTTCTTAGCTCGGAAGCTAATAAAACTCACAATTTGTTTGTTCTTGGCCACTCGAAGTGAACTGGAGAAGATGGAAGCAGCAGGATGTTTTACTCGCAGACGTTCTTGGCTCGGAAGGGTCCCCTCGACAGCGTCTGGTGCGCTGCCCATCATCTGCAGCAGCACCATCTCAAAAAGGCTTACTACACCTCCGCTGATATTCCTTCCACCGTCGGTATGTATGTCTCATCTCAACATCAACTCTTTCCTTTGGTGGTTGAATGTTATGATGTAATAATCTTCTTTCTCTTTCATTTATTTATTTGTAAAGAATTTCAACCCGATTGGATGCTATTCCTCTTTTAATTTCAACTGGCGAAATGGAAATACTTCATGGTTAAAAAAAAAATCCCATCTTTCTTTGAATTAGGCTTAAAAGGAAAAAAAAAAACTTTTAGCTATTTATGCTACCCTAAAAATCGGATTTGGTTAATGAAGTTGAGATTTGAGAATGATGGCATGTTGGTGATCCAATCCAGCGCAAAAATCATCATCATTACTTGAGAATTAATTTTGACATTGAATCTTGCTGATTGTAATACAGAGCGCATCATGTACCCAGACATCCCCATTGCACTGAGGATGTCAGACCACCTTCTATTAGGTGTTGTACGGATATATTACAAGAAGGTTGATTATCTCTTCCCTGACTGACAACATATCATCCTTGTTGGTTTAAGTGAGGCCTTTCATGCCAAAAAGGAGGCTGATTTGCTGGATAATTAAGACCAAGCTCCAATTCATGCTATTACTCTGTCTGAGAAATTTTACCTTGATGCTTTGGCACTTGATGATGATGATACATACTACACTGAGGGGTAGGCTTTCTCCCCTAAGTCTTTATTTTATCTCCTGCCTTCTTCTTATTCTGCATGCATATTAAGATTGCATTAAATTTTGCTCCTCAGGAGCCCAGATAATCATCTCAGGAATGAGGAAGATATCAGACTACCAGGTTAGAAATGAGCCACTATTTGCCTTTCTTTTGTATGCCTGTTTGTTGATATATTCAAACTGTAACTGCTCTGAGGTGGGCTTCTTCTATCATCTTGCAGACCAAATTCCTACTGGAGCAAATCCTTATATTGCCATAACTTTTGACAAGGTTAGTCATTTCTCTTCTGTCTGTTAAAGTTGGAGTCTTCAATTGCTTCTTGTTGATCAATTATTTGCTTTTGGCTATGTGAATTGCAATTTCACCTGTGGCTATGGAAACATCTGTTATATGTAGGATATGATGGATGTATTGCATTCAGAAGCAGCTCCCGAATCAGGAGTCCAACTAATGGATGAGGAGTATGTTCCTTATTTTATTTGAAAACTCTATTTTGAATCTTTGAGAAAGAAAATTTTAGATGGAAGCATGTTATGATGATTTCGTCTTGTTTTTCCTCTAACAATTTCAGTGTCATTCTTCAATCTCTTAATGGTGGTAATGTCCGAATTGAAGAACTGAGTGCAGCAGCAGCTTTTCAAGATCCTGGTCCAACTAATGAGACAGAACTGCCTGGCACAAGCATGGCTTTTGGCGGCACAGGTCCAGGTGGCCAGACGAAAGTACGTAGACCAACTATGGATTTCTACAAGAGGCATCCTGGCAATGAGACAGAAGCACCTAATATCATTCATGATGACAGTGTCACTCAAGATTTTCCAGAAATTGAAATTAGGTGTGATACAGTCCATGATATTAGCAATGGATGCCTACCTCTAGGGCATCCAGATGAGAGAAATGATGCAAATGAAACGAGAGTATCTTTGGAACATATTTTGGATGATAGTGAGATTCATACTCCAATTCTCAGGAGTATGTCAAGTTCTGGAGGAGAGTCTGTACCATTTCATGAGCACTTTGGGCCACCAACTTCTGCTGCTTTTCAAGAGTCTCCTGGGAATTTATCTCGTGGGTTCTTGGTTCTATTCTAATTGTTGGATGGAAATGTTATTTCTGCGTCAATATGCCTACCTATTGCTATTGAATTAAGTTTTCAGGCTTTTATTGTTTCTTTGTCTCAGGAAATAAATCACCTCAACTTGCCATTCAACCCTCTCCAGCAGTACATTGGCCAAGAAAGAGACAGAGAACACAGGGGAGGTTCTTC